AGATGTTTCGCCATAGTTATTAAATTGCACAGGCAGCGGGTCGGTCTCATTTGCATAATTAACATTTTTACGAGAAGATTCAGCATTAAAATTTGCAGAGGAATTAAAAGTAGAATAATCGTAATTGTGGAATGAAAGAGATCGAGATTTATACACGAGATGGGCTTTACGAGATGATCTATTAGATTTCCCATGACGGCTTTCTACTGGCTCAATGATATATGTTCCATCCGGAAGGGCCAAAGTACCAAACTAAACTACCGTATAAACTTTCAACAATTATAGTAAAATACAAAATAAAAAAAGATTTAATTTTTTATTTTACGAAAGTACATGAAGACTAAATTCTGTACCTTGATGTAAAAAACAATTAGGTTTAGCAAAACATGGGCACGTATTCTTACAATGCCTTGGTCAATTTTTTCCCTACTTAGTTCAATTGATTTCAGCTTACGTACCAAACCACCATGAGTGTCGCATAAGTTAACGATAGAAGATTCAAGCGCTCCGTTGACGTGAGCACTGTAAATGCAGTCAGGGGCGATGCGCGATAAACGAGCATGCATCGTATCGTTTGAATCAAGGAACAATACAAGCGGGCGAACTTCGTCATTTTTGAGCGTTCGTAGAGACCTGGATGCAGTGAAAAAGCAAATGCATCAAAAACCCTAACTTCATTTTTGGTTAAACCATTACCGTACGTTTATCTTCTTTTCCAACTGATATCAACAATAACAGAACCTTTCAATAATTTGAGTCCTTATGAGGAACTGTGGCTTACTTATTACGTGGAGTTGCGACCTGCTTCCAGCGAAACAGATGAATGCGCATTTCAGCCTCAGCAGGTCTACTGGCATTTTGACGTAATCTGAAGTAGCAGCTGTTTCCGCAGTCGAGAGCGAGGCCTTGTACACCATCACGCCTTGCTGTACGCGAAGCTGAACGTCGTCGTCTCGCCTCATGACGATTCAAAAAATAAATATCTCCCTCTCGAACGCTGACACCTACGAAAGTCCCAAAGTCAACTTGCAGTTTTAGGTGATCAATAATTTAAAACAATTTTAGAAGTCGTTGACTAGACTTGTGATGAAAAAGAACCGATTTCCGATAAAATGTATTACATTACTGTCAGTTTTTGAAACGAACAAATGCTTTGTGTTAAAATTTTATGATTATTCCCTAAAAAAAAGTGCCTATAAGCCTTAAACATTTCTACACATAATCATTTCTTCAAACTCAGCAAGAAGTACTAAAGAATAACCATTACGATTTAATAAAATCGTTTAACTCTACACATCTGATTATCAGTAATGCTATAAATTAGCATCAAAAAAACTTGAAAAATAATTTGTTACCTTCAGTTTCTAAAGAAAAAAAATTAATTGAAACTTTTTAAGAAAATGCTGATTTTTGGCTACTTAATAACTTCTAAAATCCTAAACAGTTACTTCTAAATTTAGCAAAAAAAAATTAACCAACTGTTGCTAAAGGTCAGCAGAAACAAAAAGAGACACTGAAACCTACTGAACCTTGAATCTAGACCAATATCGACAATTTATCAAATTTATGATAACCTTATTTTTCATAAATGTAATTAGTTATGGTTTGCCCTTTTTTTTTATTCAAATTAATCTGTAATTCAAAAATTTCCTTCTTGAACTCACTGAGTAGTTTTTACTATGAAACTAAAAATTCATTATAATTTTCTTTGCAGAAAAAAAACAGATTGATTTACCTGAATAAGCAGTTTTGAGTTCAGTAACTTCTGTTTCAAAAAAGGACTGCTTTGAATATGGGAATTTCAGATAGAATGATGCTAAAATAAGAGCTAATAAAATAAATACAGTGAATAAATATGTCTCCAAGGATATAATTGATGATGGCTTATTCCATGAGACCACTTTGGTATTGTTCTTTGACTTCAGATTGACCGGCTCACGAGCCGACTTGTCAACCATAGGCATACCGCCCCAACCGGGGCCCCTTGGTTAGTCTCTGAATCCGTTGCCGAAATAAGGTTTCCAGATTAAGCTTGAGCTCTCCCTAACTAAGCTAGTCTAAACAAGTATTCTTCTTCTTCAATGGACAGCGCATAATAATGCACTTTTTGCGTCCCCGGCAGCCTTCGGCAACTGGCTGTACGCGCCTGTAACAGAGAGAAAGTCGTCTAATAAGCTGTAAAAATTGAAAAGCTTTTTTAGTCTTGTAGAAGGTTTGCGTTATAAAAAAATGACGTTATAACGGTAAAAAA